CAGGCCGCAACATCCATGGCATCATCATGGTCGAACCCGAAACCTGTAGCATCCAGCGCTAGTCACTTGGCCATCACGCGGTCCCAGTATAATTTGTAACATAAAATATGTTTATTGACAATTTTTCCAGGAGAAATTCGTCATAATTTTGAATTATATTCGTTATAATTTCGAATTATGTTTACTATTTACATTTTTGGGCATAATTTTTTATATAAAAAAAAAAATGAAACAATTAAATTAAAATGAAAAATGCAAAATTTCTAATTTTTATATCCTTAACTGAAATAGTTAATTAATACATGGAATATATAAGTGGAACACGAGTTCAGCGGAAAAAAAAGAAAAATCTTTAAGTCCCTAAAACATTTCATTTAGATTGTTACATATATAACATCATAGTATGCTGCATGCAGATACCCAACATAAAACTAGAAATACTGAAATATCATCAAAGATAAGTATTTTTTCTAGAACTTTTCGATAACAACATTTTTCTTCTTTTAAAAAAATACTTGTAAGCATTTTGCACAATATACTATTGATTTGCTTTGTGTTGTATTTAAATTTACTCTTCGAATGAATTTTTGAAAAATATGACTCTTAAATTGTAACTAATTTTTTTTATTTCTAAATGTCAACTCTTTCATCACTTAGACAATTATTCACAGAACAGTTGTTTTAGAAAATCCAGATTTACTTACTACTCTTTGCTTTGATTCTCACAAGACTTTTGTTGAGCAAACCTTCACCCCTTCCCGCTTCGTTCTGCGCATAAACGCGAAACTGGTAGATGTGTGAAGTTTCTAAGTCTTGAACGACACACTCAGTCTTAGATCCTTCCGACCACACATACGTCTTACGCACCTACAAATAGAATAAACATATACTGTACAAAACTTTTGATTTTTTAAAATATGTTTTAGTAACTTTGAATGCTTTAAAGAGAAACATACGTCCATATGAAGGACATCTTTTGCTTCAATGACATAACCCAAGATGGGTCCACCATTGTCTTCCAAAGGAGGTTTCCAAGACAAATGAACAGAACTGGCTTCAATGTTGCTGATGATTAAAGGTCCTTCAGGTCGACTGGGTTCAGATATCATACCTTAAAAACGCAATAAACACCAAACTCATAGCATAAATATAAAGATTTTATTATGAAATTTATAAATTATTTATTGATTTTAAAATCTTGGCTCAAAATCCTAATCATTACATTTAATTTTTTATATGCATTAAAAGATTTGATACAAATGCTCAAGGGTATGTGTTTCATAATGAAGCATAACGATTTGACATGTTAACCATTTTACTACGTTAATATCATCATGTGTACAACATCTATCTTAATATAATCATCTTCAATAATTTGCTGAAGATTACTCAGTGTAGTATTTTTAAAGTATGTTATCATGTGTGATTATGACTGATTATTCCATGGTTCCTCAAAAATTCATAAAAATGAAATTTTGTGTTTTTTTTTTTACCAGAGCTACAAGATTTAAAAAAATTAACCATTTTTTTTATTTGGTTCTAATAATCATGTAATTTTTTAAAGTAATTATTTGTAATTCTTATGCGGTTCTTCAATTACTTTCACAAAGAATTATACTATAACATGTAAAGCGAAAATAACAATAATCTGTCGATAAATCATATTTACTGAATATTTTTAACAAATGTTAATTAACATAAGCAGCAAAAGAACTCAAACTTTTTTACCAGCAATACAAACATGAAAAATCAGCCATGTGTCAAGTTAACAATGGCTTTGTAAAATAGAGTAGAAATAGGTTATAACTGAACATGCCTAATAAACATAAGCATTTATTAAAGTAAGAAGTGCTTAAGTCATTTATTTACATCAGCAAAAATTAAATCCAAGGAAGGAGTTATGCTATCTAAACGAAATTTAAGAGTTGTGTTTGCACACATAAAAGATGAAATCTATTCAAATTTCGAGCGATATGAATAAGAATGGCGTTAATATCACCATTATGAACATGGTTCTGTACCATGCATATTTCATGAACGGTATTTATCTTCAGGATCGGGTATTGTGAACTAGATTTGAGTCAAAAATGCCTTTAAGCAGAAGAAGTTGTATCAGTGTCATTCACAACTTCCATCCATCCATTCATCAAATAATCCAGTGTCATCCACAACCAGCACGTAGTGTTGGTGTAATAGGCATGAAATTCCATCCCATAACAGTACATACGGCTCCTGTACGACGTAATGTATGCGCCTTTGCTGCATGTTTTGTTGCGTGCAGACTACAACAGTTATTAGTGTACCACCATTTTAGATTTGAAACGGCTCTTCTCGCGCATACCTAACCTTTCTTTAATGACCTTGGAGCATTAATCAAATAAATATTTTACCTAGACAAATGCTTTGCCTAAATTTCTAACTAATTTCTTCTTGGTGTTGGGAATTCATTTTCCACCAGTGCATTAAAGTTAAAGCCCTTGTCTCATTTTTAACCCTTTTAAAAATGCAATGTTTGAAATGAATCGACCTATTTTGGTGAAAAATTCAAATTGTTGATTGGAGATTGATATAAACACCTTAACAGAGTAAAATTACATTGTATACTAAATTAGTTATATAATAAATGTTGTATTATTGTTATTTTGTTACCTATAAATAAATATCTTACCTCATTACATCATCAATTATTCTTCGTATCAAATAAACATGTTAAGCAGGCAGTCAAAAACAAAAAAGCCTCCCTTAAGGCTCGTTCCCACCAAGGCGAGAGACGTGAAGATTCAAGAGGAAAGCGACAAAATTTTTTCGACCCCTTCACAGCGAAACGTCAGAAATAGCATTACGCCTAGTGAAAAACCGCTTCGAGTTGAAAGTTGGGCAACTCCAAGCGGCGAACTGCAAACCTGTTTTAGGCGACCGCGGTGAGGCTAGTGATTGGTCAAATTTTTTCGCTTGCATCTTGTCGCCTTGGTGAGCACGAGCCTTTAGAGTTAAGCAAATGTGATAATACACTGGAGTGCAAAACTTAAGCTAAATTGTGATTTTTAAATAGTCAGCCATGAAATTGAGAAAAAGGACATGTTACAGCGAAGGCTATTAGTATGCAAATATAAGGAACAAGATGTCACAGGTGAGCTCTATGTATTACTTTCTCCGTACGTTGAAATGAATTCGTATATGACATACGGTTTAAAGAAATCATTTGGATTATTTTACACGTGACAGAATGATTGGTTTAATGAGAGAAAATGTTAATAATTGAAATGAGAAATATTTCAGAAATTAAAAATAGAAAATATATATTGATGAAGTTTTAATTTTTATTTAAATATTAACTTGATTTTTAAAAGTATTTATATAATAATAGAGTTAAAAAAGAAATAAAGTAAGTGCATTTATTTTGTCTTGCAAATTCATCTATTTTGTTAGTATTTTGTCTTCAACAATTTTAATGCTATTATTTTTTGGTTGGGGAGAAAGAAAAAGTAAACCTATAATTACAAGTTTATAAAAGTTTGGCATTGAGCAGAATATTCGATTTTTATCTACGAATTGTATAATTCTTTATTTTACGATTGTTAGAAATATAACAACATAATTGGAAATATCATATCATGTAATTATTTGAATATGCTAAAAAAGTTTCAATTACCTCATAATCACAGATTTAGTGGTATTAATAATTTTAATGGTATAACAATTAAGTTTTGATACTCAATACTATTTTTAATTAAAAAATAGCAATTATATAAAATTTATTTGGCTCAGTTAATAGTTATTGAAAACTTCCACAAATATAAATAATAAAATACAAAAAATATCGAAATATTTTTTTTTCAAAAATATTCTTATAACTGCTTTTATTTTTGTTTATTTACTGAACTACGATTTTATGCAGAATTTTAAATATGCTTCTATTTTAGAAGCTAATAAAAAATTCATGACATAGATGGGTTTTTTTGTACACTCATTAACAGACGTAATAAAAATTTTATGATAAAATCCTGAAATGTAGTTTTACAATAACACTTTTAATGATTATTTTCTAATACATATCATTGAAAGTTCATTGTAAGTATGAAAAGAAAATATCTAATAAAACAATCATGAACTTAGCTAAAAAAACAGCTTATATAATTGGCTTATTTGCTGCTATATGAAAAAAGTTTTGCATATTTTCGATGATTGTCAAGGTTTCAGGGAACACAAAAGTTTTTTGTGTTCCCCTACCACACGGCAAGTTTTTCCCGTTTATTACAATAAATGTTTTGAAACTTGAACCAAACAACATAATAAACACCCACTTTGGTTGAAATATGATTCGCATACAAGTGGCTGAAACAGGATATCACAGATCACGCGAGAGAATATAAAAAAAGTGCACAGCCCATGACGAGTAGAAAAAAAGGGGATGGTATATGATGGCTGTATTTGATGGAAACTCTCGTAATCCATTTCCTTCAGCAAAAAAAAAAGCAATGTCATGTTTCTATCTTTGCCCATCAAATGAGGATATTAATTAAAAATTGGGTGTGAATAGCTTAAGAAACTTTAATAGTCCTTGACTTTCGTATTCATGTCCTTGGCAAGTCGGTGTGATGCTACTTTGACAGATGTTTGTTGCAAGTTCACACGAGCTGCACTTGTTGCATGGCTTAATGAATATATTTTCTTTCTTTCCTCCATATCTCATCTCCGTACCTAGGACTATGGTAGCCTCCAGTTAGTACCAGTTAGAAAGGTGAGAGTAAAACATCGGTGGCTCTCATGAATACCAGGGAAGAAGAGTGCCTTCTGGAAAGACTTTTAGGGATAACCGCACCGCATGTGCTTGCTAGGGAAAACCCGGAAAGTTCACACCAGGAGCCTGAGTATCGACTCGAAATGCTTTACACACTACAATCTTCTCGCATCTGAAAGCAGTGGTTACAACAAAGCAGCTACCAGTGCATGCAGTGATACTTGCTTTTTTTGCCACTGGGCAACTTTTGAATGAAAATTGCCCAGGTGTCCACCCTCCCAAGTACTGATCGCTCCCGATGATGCTTGACTTCGGTGATCAAACTGAAACCGGTATGTTCAGCATGGTAGGGCCCTTGACAAATAAATCTTCTACTACTACTGCGCCACACCACACCACATCCCTGTACCTAGAGCTGAGATGCCCTTTTACAGTTTGGGAATGATGTGGGTGAGAAGTCTGATTGGGCTCTGTGACGCTCTACTGTCATATGAGACTGGGACCTACAGCTTAAAGTGGATTCCGAACAACTACAAATATCCATGGCACCACCGGGATTCGAACTCGATACCTGAGGTACCGAGCGCTAGCCACTCAGCCATCTGGCCCCCGAAGAAATCCTCTGAACGACTTTCCCACTTTGAAAAATGATTGGTAATGTTGAAGAGGAGGACTATTGTGACTAGTGTTGTCCAAGATTAGGATATCGGCCACAGGTGTCGTCTCGTGTATTTAGAAAGCTTTTCAAAATACAAGAACACATGCGAGAAAGGTTGAAAAAGGAACATAAGGAAAGGAACATAAAGAATGGATGACAAATGAATGACAGATATAACATTATGTAGAAAAGCAGATACCGACACCAGTCAACCGTCAGCAGTTAAGTTCGACAATAGAATATAAAGCCTTCATAAAGATAGCTATTCATTCCTCCTTTGAACATTCACCCGATGGCCCTGTGCTCTTAGACTAACATAAAGTGCATAAAAAAAATAGACGTCTCATCAATAAGCAATGACTTTTACTGATGAAAGTAGTTTCAGTGCCTCGAAATGAACAATTCTGGATGCCAACTTAAAAGGAAAAACATTTTAACGAAGTGTTTTTTGCATATTCGTTTGGGAAAGAAATATACCGAATGAAGTTCACATTTTCAACGAGTTACCAAATAAGTCTGTTATGAAGTGAAATTGATGCAGGCTTCATTTTCGTGGACGATAATACCTTCCTAAACATCGGATTGTGTAGGAACTGCTGGAAAGTGTGGATATTACTCGAACTGATTGGCCGACATTCTTCCTTGATTTACATCCCATAAAAGATGTGAAAAAGATTTTTTTCAGCACACATCCATTTTTAGAATATCCAATAGTTGAAAGAGACACCCATTTGTAGAATGGGCACTTGTATTTCAATAACTATTCAAATTATCTTGTGTGGAATATGAAAAGACAGTGAACATTGAAATTGAATTGCTCATCTTAAACAGACATTTATTTATTCATATCCTTTTTCAATACAGTCTTTCTCTGTTTCATTCCATATTAATTTGCTCACCTTGAATGAGCATTATTTGTTATGTAGCATTTATTAACATCATTTGTTATTTATTTATTTGATTTCTTATCCTTTTTTCAATACAGCCTTTCTCTGTTTCATTCCATATTAATTTGCTCGCCTTGAATGAACATTATTTGTTATGTAGCATTTATTAACATCATTTGTTATTTATTTATTTGATTTCTTATCCTTTTTCAATACAGCCTTTCTCTGTTTCATTCCATATTAATTTGCTCACCTTGAATGAACATTATTTGTTATGTAGCATTTATTAACATCATTTGTTATTTATTTATTTGATTTCTTATCCTTTTTCAATACAGCCTTTCTCTGTTTCATTCCATATTAATTTGCTCACCTTGAATGAACATTATTTGTTATGTAGCATTTATTAACATCATTTGTTATTTATTTATTTGATTTCTTATCCTTTTTTCAATACACCCTTTTTCTGTTTGATTCCATATTAATTTGCTCACCTTGAATGAACATTATTTGTTATGTAGCATTTATTAACATCATTTGTTATTTATTTATTTGATTTCTTATCCTTTTTCAATACAGCCTTTCTCTGTTTCATTCCATATTAATTTGCTCACCTTGAATGAACATTATTTGTTATGTAGCATTTATTAACATCATTTGTTATTTATTTATTTGATTTCTTATCCTTTTTTTCAATACAGCCTTTCTCTGTTTCATTCCATATTAATTTGCTCACCTTGAATGAACATTATTTGTTATGTAGCATTTATTAACATCATTTGTTATTTATTTATTTGATTTCTTATCCTTTTTCAATACAGCCTTTCTCTGTTTCATTCCATATTAATTTGCTCACCTTGAATGAACATTATTTGTTATGTAGCATTTATTAACATCATTTGTTATTTATTTATTTGATTTCTTATCCTTTTTCAATACAGCCTTTCTCTGTTTCATTCCATACTAATTTGCTCACCTTGAATGAACATTATTTGTTATGTAGCATTTATTAACATCATTTGTTATTTATTTATTTGATTTCTTATCCTTTTTTCAATACAGTCTTTCTCTGTTTCATTCCATATTAATTTGCTCACCTTGAATGAACATTATTTGTTATGTAGCATTTATTAACATCATTTGTTATTTATTTATTTGATTTCTTATCCTTTTTTCAATACAGTCTTTCTCTGTTTCATTCCATATTAATTTGCTCACCTTGAATGAACATTATTTGTTATGTAGCATTTATTAACATCATTTGTTATTTATTTATTTGATTTCTTATCCTTTTTTCAATACAGTCTTTCTCTGTTTCATTCCATATTAATTTGCTCACCTTGAATGAGCATTATTTGTTATGTAGCATTTATTAACATCATTTGTTATTTATTTATTTGATTTCTTATCCTTTTTCAATACAGTCTTTCTCTGTTTCATTCCATATTAATTTGCTCACCTTGAATGAACATTATTTGTTATGTAGCATTTATTAACATCATTTGTTATTTATTTATTTGATTTCTTATCCTTTTTTCAATACAGCCTTTCTCTGTTTCATTCCATACTAATTTGCTCACCTTGAATGAACATTATTTGTTATGTAGCATTTATTAACATCATTTGTTATTTATTTATTTGATTTCTTATCCTTTTTCAATACAGTCTTTCTCTGTTTCATTCCATATTAATTTGCTCACCTTGAATGAACATTATTTGTTATGTAGCATTTATTAACATCATTTGTTATTTATTTATTTGATTTCTTATCCTTTTTTCAATACAGTCTTTCTCTGTTTCATTCCATATTAATTTGCTCACCTTGAATGAACATTATTTGTTATGTAGCATTTATTAACATCATTTGTTATTTATTTATTTGATTTCTTATCCTTTTTTTCAATACAGTCTTTCTCTGCTTCATTCCATATTAATTTGCTCACCTTGAATGAGCATTATTTGTTATGTAGCATTTATTAACATCATTTGTTATTTATTTATTTGATTTCTTATCCTTTTTTTTCAATACAGCCTTTCTCTGTTTCATTCCATATTAATTTGCTCACCTTGAATGAACATTATTTGTTATGTAGCATTTATTAACATCATTTGTTATTTATTTATTTGATTTCTTATCCTTTTTTCAATACAGCCTTTCTCTGTTTCATTCCATATTAATTTGCTCGCCTTGAATGAACATTATTTGTTATGTAGCATTTATTAACATCATGTTATTTATTTATTTAAGTGATTTCTTATCCTTTTTTCAATACAGCCTTTTTCTGTTTGATTCCATATTGTATATTTCCTATTCATCTATTAATTTGCTCACCTTGAACAGACATTTATTTGTTTTTATCATTTTTCAATACAGATTTTTTCTGTATTTATTCCTTATTGTATACTTCATTCATCTTTGAATTAATATGTTTTGATTCTATTTTAAGTAAAACATACTGTCATTGTATTTTGATTGTTATATTTCTTAAGTGACTTCTTTTGAAGTTAAGTTGGATTCCCACCCTATATTAAAATCTCATATGGTAGAACGCTTGCTAATCAGAAGCATGATCTCTAATTATCTGAGATGTTATGATGTGGAACTTTAGAATTCTTCGGTATGTGATCAGAGTTCATCATTATAGTGCAAAAACCAAATCGTAGCTTGTTTGTGACGTGCAGAAAGGACTATTTTTAAAAACGGCGATTTAGTTTGGAACATAATATTTTAACAAACATGTTTTATATAGCTAAACATAGCAATTTGATGGAATTTTGTTTAGATGCAACTTTATATTAAATTACATTTAGATATAAAATGCGTAATATTAAAAAGACTTGCTAAATTGCAGAAAAAAAATTAGAATGCCAGAAAATGTTCGGAATACTGATTATATAGAATCACTGATTTCTTAAATTACGTTTCTAAGGGAAATAAAAATGTATTGGAAAGAGAATTTTACAAATTTAAAATAAATACAAAAATCATAGCAATTAAGTTTCAAAACAATAATTTTTATCATGCACTCACGATTAGTTTTATTCAGAATACAGTTTTAGTGAAATCTTACTCTTATATAACCATCCCCATTAACTAATCTATTCATATTTTATCGCAATATTAAATTAATTTTTTTTCTTTCGAATACCAATCAATTTAAGTTGAAAAAAACTTAAAAAATTTTAAAAATACTGAAAAAAAAGTTTTAATTAAAAATTTTTTAATACTTAAAAAATTTACAAATTTAAAAAAAAAAAAAATTAAAAATACTAAAGGTTAAAGATAAAAAGTTATAGTGAATCTTGAAAAGAAATTTTTAGAGTCAAATGCAATTTTTTTTTTTTCATTATTATTATTATTATTATTTTCCCCCCAATGCAAGGTTTTTTTTTTTTTTTTTTATTCAAATGCAAGTTTTTTGTATTATTATTCTTTTATTCAAATGTAGGTTTTTTTTAAATTTATTTTTCATAAATTGGTAATTACACATTATTTTTACAAACGGAAAACTATAATTAAAAAAAAATTGCACATTACAATAATACCTTTTAGTAATGGAAAAAGTTGTCATAAAAAGTCTTATTTTTAATGAATATCTAACTATTATTTTGTTCTGAAAAAATATAAAAGCTGAAAGTATCTGCTGTTTATCCTATACATGATATTATAAATGATTATATTATATTATATATATTAAAAGTAACAATTATTCAGAAAAGAGAGAATTATAACAAAATTAAACGTGATATTTCGTAAGTTGCAGTAGTGTATGTGATAGGACTATACAATAAAATAAACCAGTACGTTT